ATTAAATTTTCATTTTAATGTGCTTTATTGGCATGGCTATCAAAAACATTCATAAATGAATTAAAAAAGGCATTGTTTTTGCCACTGTCCCTTTCTTGTTCTAGGTGCTGGTTCGTAATTCTCTGGCTGTTCTCAGTGGTTCTGAATCTCCACGTGTGTTCTGTGAGAATCTCAACATCAGTGTGTGTCCTCTCACAGAAAGCAGCCAAAAGGTACTATACGCAGATTTCAGTAAATGCATTCATACAATAAAAGTACATTCACTTTTAAATTATGATCTGTCTTTTTTTTATTCTCTCTCAGTTCTCTATGAATGTGTACAATCCTCTGGGCAGGACTGTAAGCTGGCCTGTTCGTTTGCCCGTCAATGGTTCATTGTACAGTGTTACTGATACAAACGGGAAAGCAGTGGACAGTCAGGTTGGAAACTATGTGTGTATGTCATTTAAGCTTATTTGTAACATTTATGATATGAAATCATCATCTCTACTTCCCCTGCTGTCTGTCAGGTGGTTCCACTGTCTAAGTCCACACAGCAAGTGAGGCGGAACAGGGGTTATGCTAAAGGTGAGCTGGTTTTCCAGGTTGAAGCTCCTCCTCTTGGCTACACTACGTACATCATCTCCATTCTTAAGGATGAGCCTCCAGCATCCAGCCCCAAACCCACAGCCACTCGCTCCATTCAGAACAAGGTACATGCAGCAGCATCTGGTTAAAATCACTAATCTAAACTCACTAATCTAAGCAACTCAAGACAAATATGTAAAATCCATAGGAAAGAAAAAAAAAATCCATAGAAAACAGATTTTGTTTGCTCTTTTGAAATAACTTGGGCTGCATTTATTTGATCAAAAATGCTGTAAAACAGTAATATTGTGTAAGATTATTTCAATGTTAAATATTTAAATATATTTTTAAAAATGTAATTTATTCCTGTGTGATGGCAAATCTGAATTTTCATCTTTGATGAATAGAAAGTTCAAAAGAACAGCATTTATGTGAAATGGAAATCTTTGATAGTAACGTAAAAGTCTTTTGATCAATTATTTGCATCCTTAATTCCTTAATAAAAGTATTAATTAAAAAAAATCTTACTGACCCTAAACCTTTGAATGATAGTATATTGACCACCCAGTTCTGTATTTAGCAACTTTGTACTCCCAAATGACCTTGTGTGAACTTGACTGGGGTTTTTTATATGCAAAGTGGTTAACTAAATGAAAACAAGATGGCATTTACAAGTTTTCACAGAACTTAAAGGTACAGTACATGATTTTTGCATGACAGTAGCGAACATTTGGGTGAAAGAGAGGATGGAAATGGTCATGACTATGGAAACCATGACTCAAGAAACAACTCAAAATCTTTCATAAGTAGGACACTGCATTTAAGACATTGTGTATGACACTAAATGTACAATAGTCATGCATGAAATGCACTGAAAAAAATTGTCTTACTAAATTCTGACACTTTTAAACAGTAGTTTAAGTAGTTTTTATTTTTGGAATTAAAAATAATAACATGAGAAGAATAGACATAACCAATTATGTTTATGTGAATACTCGCCAAAATGGGAATTTTGGCATAACCTGACATAGCGTATTGTGCTTAATAACTCTTTTTAATATCAAGCACGTTCTGTGCTTTTTTTTCCTTATTCACACAAATGTGTCAATAACTTCAAGTAGTACTGGACTTTTTGTGATTTATTTTGCCGTTAAATGCAGGATCACAAAAATTTACATTGCGTTGTGTTTTGCTATCACTGAATCGTAAAAATTGAAGGGACTGGCTAGTGTAAAATTTCACTAAAATTGCATATTTGGACTATTTCATGTTTCAGTTAGCATAAATAATAAATCTGTTCTTATGTATGTGTTTAAGTTCTTGAAGGTGACCTTTGACGACACCACAGGTCTGTTGAGCAGCCTGACAAACCTGGAAACGAATCAAACCATTCGACTCACTCAGAACTTCTACTGGTTAGTTTAGGCTGATTCAGAATCAGTCTGTGCCTTCCAGTTTCTGGTATCTTTTATGGTATCTACCATAGTATTATCTTAAATACAATGATATTCAGTATTTACTTCTCATGTTTGATGGTATCAAAAAAGTGAATCATAGCCAAAAAAAATTAAAGTAATGTGTGTTTCTTGTGCTTTTTGACAATTGCAGGTATAATGCAAGTGCTGGGAATAACAAGGAGAGCCGGCAGCCGTCGGGGGCTTACATTTTCAGACCAAATTCTTCAGACCCCTTTGTCATTAACAAAACTGCTGAAATACAGATAGTTACAGTGTCCAGCACAGTTCAAGAGGTGACGCAGTGGTTCAGCCCCTGGGTGTCACAGGTTGTCCGTTTGTATGAGGGCCATAGGGAACTGGAGCTGGAGTGGACCGTGGGACCTGTGCCTATTGCGTGAGTAAACATACTTAATCACAGATTTCTCTGGATTGTAGATTTGTTGCGAAAATGAAAGTAAGGCTTAATAGCTCTTCCTCTCTGACTATCTGCTCTCTTTCTCTTTTCAGAGATGGTTTAGGGAAAGAAGTGATCACTCGTTTGGACACAGACATTGAGTCCTCTGACTATTTCTACACTGATTCCAATGGCAGAGAGGTTCTAGAACGACGGTGAGGAGATTAAAAGAAATAGAAGGATTGATTACAAACATTTTAATGTCCATTTTAATATATATAAAAAGAGATATATATTTTTTTTAAATTGTAATTTTTTTTACTGTTTTTACTATATTTTGATCAAATACTGTAAATGCAGCCTTGGAAAGCATCAGAGACAAAAATATTAAAAAACCTTACCGATCCCAAACTTTTAAATAGTTATGTATCTCAGCTGTTGGAAAAGTAATCTAAGGAGCAGTGTAATTGTAGGAAAGATTATCGGCCCACGTGGGATTTGAAGCAGACAGAGCCAATTGCTGGAAACTACTATCCAATCAATTCTCGCGCTTACATCAAGGCAAGTGTCGTTCAGCCAATTACGTCAGCTTTCTTGTCATTTTTTTGGATCCTGGGTCTGTTTTTATTATTTTGTTAGTATATTTTAGACTCCATTTATTTTATTTACATTGGCATATTACATTTTTTTTGTCTTTTTATACTGTCTTCATCCTCGTTTTCTGTTGTCACTCAGATTTTCATAAACAGTCTTGGGCCTAACCTGTCAGGGAATCTAATATGTGTGTGTGCATTTAGGATGACAAGCATCAGCTGACAGTAGTGACTGATCGCTCTCAAGGGGCCAGCAGCATCTATAACGGCTCACTGGAAATCATGGTAAAAATAAAATCACCTTTCCTTCTCTGTCAATCTCTCCCTCAGTTTAGTTCAATTTAAAAGTGCTTTATTGGCATAACAGACAGTATGGCGTATTTTCAAAAAATAAAACTTAGAGGAGAACAAAAACTAAATGAAAAAAGCTAATGAATTATAAATGAAAAATAAATGTAAATAAAAATGAGTGTGAGTGCCGTAGCTAATCACAGTGTGCCGATGCACAGCCATATCACGCGGCTACAAGCATTCCAGAAGATCTGGCCGAGGTGAGGCTGCTCTCGGCGGGTTCATGAGCGCTGAACGGCCACTGATGCCCTGGAGCTCACATCTCCGAAACGCCGAAGCAAATTTTCAAATAGACGTTTTCTTTATTAACAGACTGCATATTTTGAAGTGTAAACAAGAACATTCTTGTCTAAAAAAACTCTTAAAACTATATTCTGACACAAAAGCAGTATTTATAAAATTAAAATAGTGGATTTGGGCGTCCGCCATGACGCTCGCTGTGAGAAATACTGCAAGCGGAGTGATACAAACGGAAACGGTTGGAGTTCTGTTATCACTAGAATATCACACTCCTCTCAGCCAATCAGATTCGAGGACCAGAAAGAACTGTTGTATAAATATATATACATATCTGTATGTATGTATAATTAAATTTAAGTGCCTCCAGAAGCTTCCTTTAGGATACTATATTAAAATAATGCATTATATTAGTGCTAGACAACAATTAATTGTAATTAATTGCATTTAAAATATAAGTTTTTGTGTACATAATAAATATACACAGTACACACACATATATATTATGTATATATAAATACAAACACATGCATGTATATATTTAAGAGAAATGTTATGTTTATACTGTATATTAAATATATAATATAAATTATACGAATATAAATATATACATGTAAATATTTTCAAAATATATAGGTATGTGTGTGTCTTTATATATACATAATAAATATACACAGTACGCACACATATATTATATAAACAAAAACTTTTATTTTGGATGTGATTAATTGTTGCCCAGCACTAATTTTTATATATGGTTTATAATAATATAGGTTATTATTATTATATTATTAATTGTGACATGGTCTCTATATGCTAACAGCTAACAGCAAACTCTCTCTCAGCTGCACAGGAGACTGCTGTATGATGATTTTAGGGGAGTGGGAGAGCCTCTCTCTGAGCCGGGAGAGTTTTTTGATGGTTTAGTTGCCCGAGGGCGTCTGCTGCTGACCCTCACTCCACCAAACATGGCCGCAGATGTCCACAGACCCCTCGCACAGGGTATGGTGCTCCAACCCCTGCTCTCCTTCCAGGACGGCACACCTCCCGCCAATACAAAACTGGAGGTTTGTAGAGGATCAATGGATGGATGAACTGAAAAGTTTCCTCATCATTAGCTTAAACCAGGGGTGTCCAACCCTGTTCCTGGAGATCTACCTTCCTGCAGAGTTCAGCTCCAACCCTGATCAAACACAACTGAACCAACTAATTAGGATCTGAAGTAACACTTGATAATTACAGACAGGTGTGTTTGATCAGGGTTGGAACTGAAGTCTGCAGGAAGGTAGATCTCCAGGAACAGGGTTGGGCACCCCTGGCTTCATGACTGAATAACTGACTGATCATTCCCTCCTTCCCATAGTTCTCTGGGCTTCAGGATGCTCTGCCCCCTGCTGTTCACCTGTTGACACTGTCTCAGTGGGATAAAGACTCGGTTCTGATTAGGCTGGAACATCAGTACCAGGCCAAAGAGAGCAAAACACACTCGCAGCCTGTTACAGTCAATTTACAGGTAACACACATTTCCATTCCTACTTACACAATAAGTAATTATTTAGTAATTATATCCTGCTGCAGTCAAACACTGATTGTGTTTCACAGGGACTAAGAGCTGTATATAAATTCTCAGAACAAACATCCAAAAAAATTCTCTTTAATAAATATGATGCTTTAAATTGTTTTAAAAGATCTTTCTTATGCATTCAACACTGTACTAAGCTAGTTGGCTAATCTGTTAACCTGCTAACTGAAAGCAAAATGTAACTGAAAGATTTTAGCTTCAGCAATGAAATGTAAGTCATTAGCTAACATGATTTTCATGATTAAGAATGTCTGGGTATTTATAAACAGGCACCAGAGCATCCATAAAATCGTCGTAGCTCAGGAATCTCTTTGGGGTCCAAAGGGGATAGGATTTGGCATGACTATAATTAATCATTTTAATAAAAATGTATGACCTTAATGTTTATTATCTTTTTCTAAAAAGCAATAAGACACTTGAAGTAGTGCAACACCTATTGTGTATTGTGTAGTCAGCTCAAGTGCCTTATTGCTTATAGTACATAAAAAAAAAATAATGAATAATGATAAACTTTATCTTTATGTGTGTACAGAAGCTTTTTTCTACGCTGGAGGTGCTCGGAGCGTCTGAAATGAGTCTAGGGGCAAATCAGTGGAAAGAGGACATGAACCGCCTGCAGTGGAACACAGGTAGCCAATTCTTAATTTCTCCAACTTTTGAACAAATTAGCTTCCAGAAATTAAGTGTTTGACGTGTTTTTCTTTCAGCAAAGGCATCAAAGCCCCTTCCACTCAGTGCCAAAGACCCCTCACAATGGGAAGTCACACTAAACCCAATGGAGATCCACACCTTCTTGTTGCGGGTACGACAGCTATAGAACCGACAACCTACAGATCACTGTACGAGCCAATCAGAGTGTAGCATTGGAGTATCCAAACCTGGAACTAAATCATGAAGAGCTGAACTTCGCTGCTGGTTCTAGTTTTTTAAATTTTGTAAAATTTGAGTATAAATATCCTTCACACTTCACTGTGCCATATGTTCATAAAGATGTATATGATCTAGTCTTTATTTCTTCTGCATTAATCTCACAAGCTCTACTTTGGTTAGCTACTGGCCAAATGGGCATCTTGTGTTTCTTCTAATATTAATTTGTGCAATAATTTGAATTTGTATTTTTCTATTGTGCCTTTCATATGAAAATGACACATTTTTAAAGAATGAACTCTGGAATAAATTTAATGACCAGTAATAAATTGTTTTTAAATGATACATGATGTGTCCCGCTCATGCTGAATAGAAATACACAGCCATTCACTTAGTATTTATTTGCCAGGCAAAACGAAAACATTCAAAATATAAAATGACTGCAAAGAATAAAATGTGTCCCACCAATGCATCGCCAGAAAAATTAAATTTGCATCGCACAACTCCAATTAACATAAACTATAGTTGCGAATCTGTACACATTTGGACACATGCATTATTCAGTAGTGAGAAAACCACTTAGGCCATCTTTTCCTCAGTTTCTTGCTCGAGTTCATGCGAATAACAGCATTTATCTCCATATGTACATGTTCCCTAGAAAAGAAAGAAAATACAATAGCTTTGTTAGGTAAACTAGCTGTTGTGATTTAATATGTATGCATTGTTGCTTAAATAATTTATCAATTAAGGGCACTTATGACTACTAAACCTAATTAATTAATCTTATACATTAAACATTTATCACATGTACGGGAATAAAAGTTGGATGATAATTCTTGTACTTTGTACTCTGAATTTAAATTCTCAAATACTGACTAGTTTGGTAATAACAACTAATAAGGCAACGCTCACTGTTCAAATGATTCTGAAATCACTATATATTGTAGTCAAGCGGACGTACCTTCCGAAACTTCTTACAGGGGAAGCTCTTGAGTTGAGAAGAGTCTGTGATCGGTTTCTTTCTTTTACCCTGAAACTGTTTCCTTTTGTCCTCCAGCTCAGAGGAGATTCCTCCACTAAATACAAGAAACGATGATTTACCCTTTTAAAATCAGTTGAAAGATTTTGCTTATGATTTAACAAAAGAACATTAGCAGTATGACCCACCCAGCTTTGGCACGGGCTTTGGGTCCCCAGTTGGCCTGTGGGTTCTCCTGGAAACGTGTGAGGTGCTGTTTTCGTGATTGAGGGTTTGCGTCTTCTCTGATTTCAAAGCAGGCTTGAAGACTAAATGAGAGAATATGAAGATTAATGGTAATAAAGTTGTATTTTTATTAAACTGCAATTAAACTAAACTAAAAGGTACAGCAACATACACAACAGGGATTTTGGTAACACTAGTATAGGGACCAATTCTCACTATTAAAGGTGCACTAAGCTATATTTTTATATATTGAGTATTTGACATTTGTTTGATCATTACGTTGGCTCTTTGGAGAGAATGCGGTGAGCAGGACTGGTTTCTGATAACCGCTCTCTTTTCACGGGGTTGGACTTTTCCTGAGGAATACAAAAACAGAGAAACTACATTAGAAAATAAGGTGTCATCATGAGGATATTTTGGGGAGGTTCTTAAAGGGGTGGTTGACTTTTTTTTTCTAGGCTTGATTGTGTTTATGGGGTGCAGTCTAACATGTGTTAATGCTTCGTTTAAAAAAAAAAAAACATTATTTTTCACATAATTTACCTTTATTCTACACCGCTCTGTCCCTTCTCTTTGAACGCTCCGATGATTTCCAGTTTTTATGAAGCCCCTCCCTCAGAAATAGGTGATGGGCTCAGATTGGTTAGCTGGCCCAGTGTGTTGTGATTGGCTAAACCGCCTCTAGTGCGTGTCTGAACGTCACGCCCCTTACCTCAGTGGCATGCACTCACGTTGTATTGTAAACAATGGCGTTGTCAATATTGCTTATCAATTTGAGCCCGATTGTGACCCAGAGAATATTAGTGAAGAGGATCTCACAGAACCTGTGAAAGCACGGCTCTTAATGGTATGTTTTTTGTTTGTTGTTGTCTATATACGGTTTTATCCTGATTAAAGCTTTAATACAGCACGGTAACTGCATGGTGTCACATATTCTGCATGTGACAGCATGTTTAACGCTTCTCATAGCTATGTGAAAAATATCTGTCAGTCTATAAACATAAAGTGTATAATTGGAACACAGTTCTTTGATGGAGCTGTGACGAGTTGATGATCTGAATGAGAGAGAGAGAGAGAGAGAGAGAGAGAGACAGAGAGAGAGAGATGCAGAGCAGGGGATGCGAGGAACAGTATTAAGAGCCACTGCTTTAGAACATTGATTTTGAAACTTGTGAATCCTTTAGAATCGTTAGAAGACAGAATAGCAATTCATATATGAATCGATTTTTTCGTGCACCCCTAGTTTTGACGGCATGGCAACAACTCTTCCTCTTCTCTAAAGCAGCACAGCATGGCCTCGCCCCCTTTGTTACATGTTCCCAGGGGTGGAGTTTATGTAAATTTCTGGGTTTGTGATGTCACAAACCCGGGAAGTAGCTTGTTGTAGTCCCCACGAGCCGTTTTTGTAGGCATTAAACTGCCATAATTTTAAAAGACGATATCTCCGTTTGCATGGAACTTTCAGCGTCATAACTTTGCAGATATTGTTTATGCTCAAACAGCAACATTTAACTAATGATAAAAAGTGAAATCGCAATCAACCACCCCTTTAAGAGTTTATGGTGGTCAATTACCCAGCCACGAATGATGTCCCACAACACCTCAGCAGGAGCATCGGTCTTCACTGCATTTTTGCAGGCATGAGAGAGAGACACTCTGTACCCAGCGTGCAGGAGAGCTGACCTAAACCACAGAAAGAAAATGAGGACACCCTCCATTGAAAGTCTATTGACCCAAAACTCTTGATGCTTTAAAACCCATATGAAGTGAGCGGTTTAATCCAGGTATTCTGAAGAGATACAATCACTTCATATAATGAAAAGATTTAATTGATGCCTTTATTCACATATAAATATTGATCAGCAAACATAAAAGCTCAACCATACTTTGACATTTTCTCTAAAAAATATCTTTTTTTTTGGAATTCCAAAAATGAATGAGAGTCTTAAGACTCCCATAAAATGTAAATGACAGAATTTTCATTTGGGGGTGAACTAACCCTTTAATAAAAAAAAAAACTAAAAAAAAAAACTTACTGACTCTAATCTCTGCAACAGTAGTGTACATAACACAGGTTGAATAGGTTATATAGAGTTTACCTGAACTGCAGCATGGACGGAGTGTTGCAGTGAACTGTGCTGCTCAAATGATCCAAAACATAATACAGAGGAATATCCTGCAGCTCCTAAAACACAAAACTCAAACTATTAGCACTAATTCTCTATTCGGAAAACCAAAACTTATTTCCCTGGATACATTTAAAATGTCACAATCATGCTGATGATTCTTACTGTGAAGTTTATTAACGACTGACCTCGGTCACCATGCTAAGCACCCCCTCGATCCGCTTGGACGTTCTGAAGCGGGTGGGGTTCCCTGAAACGGCACTCAGAACCTTCTGAACAAATGTAATGTCATGAATAGGCTCCGCCCAGATGGGACCGCCCAACTGCGAATACAGAGAGAGGAACAAAGTCATCAAAACAAGGTGAGGAACTAAATGTTCATCGTTGAATTATATACTGAAGCATGTCAGTTGCTTTTATACAGTAATGCAACGATATTGCAATTCTGGTCAATACGATAAGAACAGTTTGATAAATGGCTGAATCAAATCAAAATTCTATACTATTTTGTCTGAATAAATAAAAGAGGAAACATTAAAACTAAAATTGATAATTTTAAATATTACAGTATAGGCATATAACTTGAAGTAGTATTTCCCAAACTAGGGTTTTCAAACCACAGAAATTAATATTAGTTAATTATGATTTTATAAAGATACATTTAACAGTGTTATTAAATTATTTCTTCTTGTTGTAAAAATGTGTAATGCAAAAAAAACAGGGTAAATGAGAGGATTAACACACAATTAAATGTCCAATATTGGCTGATTTATGTTCAATATCAGCTGATACTGATTTATTTAAAAAAGTCTATTTAAAAAAATTGCAGAAAACCGACATGGTATATACAGTAAGTAGGGATGCATGATATATCAGTACCAACTAATCACACATCAAAAGGATATTTTATTTTTTGTAATACACACAAGAGGAGAAGTTTATAGTTCAGACCTGGTGCCTCTGCCCACAGTGTTCACAGCTGGGCCCTACAGGTGGTCCAGTGGCTGCCGAATACTTCATACTGTAACAAACATATTACATATATAATATAAATATACACTTACTGAAAACGCATAATGATACTGACAGTACAGAAACACTGAGAAAAAGTGTACAGATCAATCATGGAGGTAGAAATACTTACTGTTTGCCTTGGCTCATCTTCTTCCCCATCCTCTGCAGATGAAACGCACCACAGCCGACACAGTTATACAGCAGCGCCTGCTTACTATGAAACACCCAGATACCTGGATTTACTAATCACAGAATACATTTCCATACAAAAATTTGGGGTCTGTTAAATTTTCAACGTATTTGAAAGAAGTCTCTTATGCTTAAAAGCTTCATTTATAAAAAAAAAATATATATATATATATATATATATGAACAGCATCTACTTTAAATAGAATTTTTTTTGTAACTCTATAAATATTGCACTTTTTCATGTATGATTACTAGCAGCTATTTTATCTCTATATAGACAGACAGAGTAAACTGTGTTTTACCTTGCAGAGTTTTTGACCACGACTTGGCCTGTTTTGACTCTGACGAATACACGGATGTAGAAATCCACACTCACACTCAAGAGAGGTTCAATGTAGCGCTGATAAACAGCTGCTCTCTGATCTAAACTGTGCAGAATTATACGCAAAGCCTAGAATAAAAAGAAAAAAAAGAGTGTGATTAAGACACAGATATGATGTTATGATATGAGTTTCCTTCTTTCCATCCATTTCCAATCAGCAGTCAGCCCGATCTTACCATCTCATGGCAGTATTTGGACTTGATGGACACAGAGCCATATTTGCTGTAGCAGGTCTCCCCGCTATTTCCAGCCATTACAGCCATATCCGTACACGTAATGCAAAGCAACCCTGACAATGAGAGAGCGAGATTACTGTATGTGTACTGCATATTGTGTTAAATAAATTCAGAATGTGCATGTAAGAGAACAGCGACAGACTCACCACCCTCACTGACAGCCTGCACAGCTGCATCCAGAAATGGAGAAGGGCTGCCATAGGGGTCAAGATCAATAACATCATATCGTTCCTTCCTCCCTCTTGCCTCATACATTACCATACTGTAAAGAAGTTGTTATACCAGGATTTAGGATGTAACTGAATCAGTGTTACTGTTAACTAAAACTATAACAAATCATTTTCAGTAATTGGGAAAAAAAATAATAATAATAATAATAATAAGGTGAAATACTACAATTATAATAATTATTATTATAATTAATAAAAAAATAAAGCTTAAAATTACAGAAATAAAAAATGAAAAAGAAAAAAGAAAAAGTAAAAAATAAAAGCATATTGAAATATATATAAATAAAATATGTTTGTGAGTGTATAAGCAAAACACTGGAAAAAATAAACAGCAGGGTGCTCAGACCTGGCATCTCTTTGGCTGGCTTGCAGTATGTGGGACACGTTGTTGTGTTGTGCATTGCGGGCGATCAGGGCAGCAGCTTTAGCAGAGTAATCATTAGCAGTGATGCTCTTCAGGCCAGGAATCTCCAGAGCAAAACGTACAGAACGCAGGCCTGATGCTGCCAGACCCTCCAGCACACGCAGACCTGGCTAAAGCAGAAAAGAGAGATAAATTACTTTACATTTATTTATTTGGCAGACAGTTTTAGCCATGATAATTCACAAATACGGGAAAAAACTTGACTTATGTCAGTCATAGGAGAATACTGAAAAAAAAAAAACAAGACAAGGTGAAAACACCAGTATTGTAAAATAATCTTACATATAAAATTAATTTCAAATTCTAAAATTAAAATTAATTATTTTTGACTAAATTAATTACATTTTAATTTTACATATATACACACACTCACACACATGAAGGGTTATTTAGTCTTACATATACATCCTAAGAACTAATTCACACACACAAAAAATAAAAATAATAATAATAAAAAAAATGTTAAGAAATTAAACTGAAAATATAAGTTGAAATAAAAATAGTTAACATAAAAACAAACTAATTAATTAATTAAAAACAATCCAATAAAACAACAAAAACACATTACAAAATAACTCAAATTAAAATGTAAGCGAAAATAAAGCTACTTCAAAACAGTATATAAATAATGATTAAAACACAGTAATTGGCCCACACACAGACCTCACATCTTTCCCCTACAGATGCAGTGATGAACTCTTTCTTGTCACCCTCTTCTTCCATTTGCTGCTAATATTGTATGAATGAATTGTATAAATAAACACTACTTTCTCTAATTCTCTAATTTTAGTAACTGAATTATCATTATTATTATCAACAGTGTATACTGAAAAGTGTACACTGAAAAGTGGTTAATATAAATAAAATTAAAGTTTTTTTGTTTGGAAGAGTTTGTAGTAAACCACAATATTATAACTTTTCTTTGATCTCTGATGCAATCTTAAACTTTGCAGTTGTCAAGAGCAGGGTTCTTCAATGGTTTTCAGGGTAAGGACCCCTTAGTGACAGATATGGAGCAAGGACCCCTGAATATGTGTCAAGCAGAGCTACATATTAAGCATACAGCCTTAGATATTAATAGAAACTAAACATGATTGAATAAATCATAATTTAAACATTATGATTAAGAATAAATTATGTTATAAGGTATGCATTTTATGTAAAGACAGTAGATCAGAACTATGCACATTATTATTGTTGCACATGTATCACTGCCTGTATATTTCATTTTATTGTTAAAATTGAGATTTATGCATCATAAAAAACATGTTGAGATAAAAATCACAATTCATTAGTTGTTTGCAGTTGTTGTATATTATTTTAATTGATTTGCAGAGTCATATATTTTACATTTACTAGTCAGATGTGCATTTACATTTACCTGAACTTCAGCTAGCCTATAAGTTTATTAAAAATTCACATTTGTGACCCTGGACCACAAAACCAGTCATAAGGGTCAATTTTTTAAAATTGAGATTTATACATCATCTGAAAGCTGAATAAATAAGCTTTCCATTGATGGTTTGTTAGGATCTGACAATATTTGGCCGAGATACAACTATTTGAAAATCTGGAATCTGAGGGTGCAAAAAATCAAAATATTGAGAAAATCGCCTCCAAGTTGTCCAAATTATGTCCTTAGCAATGCATATTACTAATCAAAAACTAAGTTTTTATATATTTACGGTAGGAAATTTACAAAATATCTTCATGGAACATGATCTTTGCTTAATAACTTAATTATTTTTGGCATAAACAAAATCGATCGATTTTTACCCTTACAATGTATTTTTGGCTATTGTTACAAATATTCCCGTGCTACTTATGACTGGTTTTGTGGTCCAGGTTCACATTTTACTTTTACTGTCAGATGGACAAATAAATATTTACGCAAACTTTGGCTTCAAGCTTACTAAACATTACTGAACATTTCATTTTTACTGACTTGGAGCAGCGGCTCCGTGACAAGAATAGCAATGTACAGTTCAGGAATATTTAACTGTTTTAAATATTAAATTTGAAGTCTTATCTTTAAATTTCTACAATCATAGTATATTTTATATGTAATATTGAACAAAAATTCAATAAATACATTATCTGCGTAAAGTATGCCTTCTCTGTGCAGCATTACTGTCGTGGCATAGCCTATATGCTCTTTCTGTAGGCTACTAATGGCACATTCGATCTAATAATCTAATCTAGTCACGCTCTATCTCATTGCCTACGCGCCATATAATTTGACCCCATTAGAGCGACGTGGTGGACATATTTTGGAGATGTTTAGTGCACACTTCTCCAGTGCGACATGAGGAGTCGAGTTTGCATGCTGTGCGCGTAGCACCCAGACCCCTCTAGGGCTTCACCGGAGTCTAGACGCTCCACGCAGCTCACTTTCCCCGCACTGCCGCACGCACACACCAGACCCAACTGAGAGCGCGAGTTGCACGCATCGGTGTTCAGACAGCTTTCTGTGTGTGATCGGTGACTCTGTGCTCTAACCGGGGTGACAGGATGATGCACCCCTCGATAATTCTGCGCTCGGGCGTCTTGCCTGTGCATTCGCGATGAATGGCTGCCCGTAGAGAGAAAGAGTCTGACTCCTCCATTGAAACACGTTCCAGCAGATCGCAAGTGAGAGGGTGAGTATTTTAACGCATGCACGAGAGGTTCATGCCACTTTAAGTGGGGTCAAGGGGCAACCACGTGGGTTGAACAAGGGGGTCGAATTTAGTTATTGTTGTGGCAGGGGGTAATTGAGAAAGATTTGAGGGGATTTTTTTGGATAGGGGTATTGTTTTGTGAAGGTGTGCGATTGCTTTAGATGGGGGATGGGCTTGCGAAACTTTAACCACTTCAATGACTTGCTGCCGAGAGCTTGATTTATATTGCATCAATGCGTCCGTCTATATTTTCCAACTTTTTAGCCGTGCATACACATCGCTTGCAATGTTGGCACGTGTTTCTGGACTATTTGGGGATTTGTACTGGAGGAGGGCATTAATGTGCATTGCTTTCAGACGTCAAGTGGTTAATATGGTGTCTTGTCTAGCGGATCAGTCTGACTCGCCCCCCGGTTGCTGCAGTTGTCCCAAGATGACCTGTTGATGTCGGGAAAAGATGGAGCCGAGCCCCCCTTCCTCCTCCTCCAAAATGGAGTAGAATTTAACCACAGAATATTTTATGTGAAACCCAATGATTGCGCCGCGTGCATACAAATTATGACTTCTACTTAATTTGCATGCGATTTGCAAGTATGCAGTGAGAGAGTGATAATAATAACCCATGTATATGGATGTTGCTGGGCGAATAAAAACGTTTTAGGTATAGATATCATGGTATGTGAAGGGCTGTAACTCAGCCCGACATTGCATAGCATTGCACTGGCACCGAGGGGGCGAGGGAAACGGATGTGGGCTCCTCAATAATTCATCTATCAGACTATTTTGGTGACAGGATTTTTGAAGGCTGAGCAGCTTTTAGCTCTTTGGTCGCCGCATCAAGTGCGGAAACCAGGCAAGTGGGGAATTATTTCTTATTTTGTTTTTTGCTCCCTGGGGCCCGTGCCAGCCCGGAGCTCGTGTCCAGCTGGGCAGCGGTGCGGGGCACACACACTCACCGGGTACCGCAGCCCTGCCGCGGCCGCCACATCACAGAAACACCGGCGCCCGACTCTCAACAGTGAGATCACAAACTACTGTTAATTTATTACCTTATTGTTTTTAATTAAACTGCTGTTGTTATGCCATTGGGAAATATTGCTGTGCGAGTGATACAAAGAAAAAAGTCTGGGTGAATTAAACGGCATTTTCGCTGCATAGATCATGAAGCTGTAATTAGGCTACATTAACGACAATCGAAAGTACAAGATTACTCTTAGACCAAGTTTTTAGTAATTTTACTATGTTTCTTAAAATGTGATTGCTATTAGCTAAGGAACTAGCTTTAACCCTTTAAATTAGGATGGTACAATCCAAAAATTAACTTTTTGCTAAATGGCATTTAGTTACTACCGTTTCTGCTGGTGCTTATTATAAATTAATATTTATATTAAATTTTCTTAAAACAGCATAAGAATATTTCCAACAGGTTAATTTTGCCTTGAATATATATATATATATTATATATATATTGTAAAATATTATTGTAGGCCTAAGGGTTAAAAGGAGTATGAACGGAAGCAGATGTTTTGTTACTGAACAAAACCTTACTGCTCAGCCAGACAAATCTTTGATCTGCTTCCTATAAGCATTGCTTTAACCTGCTGATCAACCTTTGTACAAAGACACAAAGCAAGAAGTTGGAGTGAAATTACTCAGTACACCTTTAGTGGGGATTTCTGATCAAACTGTAAGGTACTTTTCAGTAGTTCAGTAGTTTTAAGAATTGTTAACAGATTTTGTAAGATACATTTATACTAATGTTAAAGTGTTGAGCTGATCTATATTGCATTTTACATGTAAAGATTTAGCAGACACTTTTGTCCAAAACAACTTACACATGAGGAACACCAATAAGCAATTTGTCATAAGGCAAAATAACACGAGAAGTGTTAGCAATACAAAGTTTCGAACATCATTCAGAAAAGCACAGGCTAGAAGCTAGAAAAAGGATGGATAGAGGAATAGTGAAAGCATAGAAAGTGAAGCAGGATGCAGGTTAAGTGCTCTTTAGCAGACTGATTGACACAAGTAAACAATGTATTTGTATAAAAGTAACTGCACTTTTGAGGTTTGAGTGTTGCTGGTCACACAGAGTAGCCTACATACAAATATGATTTCATGTAAAGTGCAAATACAGTTATTCTCTGCATGTTGGATAGCATAATACAGGATGACATAGTCCTAATTGCCTGATATATAGATAGCCATTGCATTAGACATGTGATCTATTTTCCTGTTGAAGAATATTAATTGAACCACTTCCTGCATACCATCTATTCATCTTTTGCTTCTAAAAGGATTTTGTTTGTTAGAAAGTAGGGATGCACCGAATGTTCGGCAACCGAATTTATTCGGCCGAAAATATAATACGCGAAAAGACAGAATAAATTGTACCGAACAATGATATGACGCGATCAAATAGCAACCAGCGCAGAGTGAGAGGCGCGCGCTCTTTATTATGCAGCACACACGTCAGCAGTGTGGAAGCATTTAAACTGTCGGAGAAAGACGCAAAAATCATTACAAGCACCGACAGCGAGAGACTGTTTAGGACTGCATCGCATGTCTTCATTGAGAAGAGGACGGGGTGATTGTTGCTGGTTACTGTATGATGATTGATATCGCGAAATGGCCATAAACAATTAGTAAATAAACTGCAGAACGTTATATTTTCTAATACACGCGCGCATTGCATGTATTCTGACAGCGCTGCACGAACTCGCAGCAGATCTCAAAGTCCAAAGCGCGAGGAAAATC